TGATGGGTATTGAGGAGGGCACCTTTTGGGATGAGCACTGGGTGTTGTATGGAAACCAATTTGACAATAAATTTCATATATAAATAAAAAAAAATAAAAAAAAATAAAAGTTAAAGACTCTTTTAAAAAGACATATATATATATATGATATATATAGTGATATATATCACTATATATCATTTTCCCACATTAAAACAATTTAATGAAAATTCCTTAATAATATCTAGTTAGTGTTCAGTTATCCACTTTTATCATAATTGTCAAATTTTTTGTTTCTCAGTTTGTTTAAATGAGAGTACAAGTGTCCACATATTGTCATTTGTTGATATGTCTCTTATTCCTCTTTTAATCTCTCATACTTCCTCTACCCCATTCTTTCCTTGCAGCTTATTTGTTGAAAAAACAAGTCATTCGTCCTCTGGAGTTTCACAGTCTTGATTTTGCTGATTGCATTCCCTTATATGCATTCCCTTATATTCCCCATTGCATGCCATTTATATATTCCTTTGTCTACTCTTCTGGTGACTTAGTTTGTGGATCAGATTCAGTTGCTTGATCAGAGTCAGCTTTTGTTTTGGCTACTCTTTTTTTTTTGTGATGTTAGCAGCTATTGATGAAGAATGCCTAGAGTCATTAATTCATTTAGGGGGATGCAAAAATGGTGGCACTCTAATTTGATTACTTTTTCTTTATTAAATAGAGCACTGTATGGGGAAATTTCTCATCTAAATTTATCAGAAGTGGAACATAATCACAAAAGGAAAAAATTAAAATTGCCTGTATCTTTGGGTCTTATATTTCTGGTTTTCAGAATAGCTAGTTGGCTCACAAGCCTCCTCAATCAGCAATCATAAATGGTTTCGGGGACTTTTTCTTCTAGTATTATTATGAACTCATACTTCAAACATGTTTGCACTTCCATCTAAACTATTAAAGTCGTTCTGTCTTTGACCAGTGGAAGGCATTTCAAGTTAGGCTTCTGAATCTTTTTGATAAAGCTTTTCTTTAGTTGTCTTTGATAGTTTATTCCCTATCTAGTATGAGAAGATATTTGAGCTCATTTTGCACATTTCCTGCCGCATACTTTGAATCAGCTTTTTCTCTCAGGAGCTTTTAATATTATTTGGTGTCTAAAAACCATAATTTGGGCACTAGAGATGTTTATGGCTAGTGGGTTAGCATTTCTAGGCCTTTTCAGTGGACAGAGTTAAGAAATGTATTTTATCTTGATCATAAGGCCAAAACCTCAACCCAAACAATATTTCCAGGACAAATTCGGGACTACAGGGTACTTGATACCCCTGTCTTATATCTGTCTTACATCTTCCCACTCCTAGAATGTTGGTTCTTAACAATACCAAGAATGATAAAACTAGAATAATTACTCATTGCTTTATCTGGATATTTGAATGATGAATTTATCTACTCTCTTAATAGTTTTATTATGTTTTCCCCCTTTTTTTTTTTTTTAGGAATCTGATAAGATATATTTTACGTTTCCTCTTGCAAATCATAGAAAAATCTACACTCATGTATATTGTCAGAGCACCATGCTGGTAAGATGATTGGCACATTTTATGTAAATTTAAAAGGTTAGGTTTTTAAAGATTTGACTAATATCTAGTAGATATCCTCTAGCTATGAGCTATTAATCAAATCTAATAAGTTGAAAAATATTTGTCTGGAACGGAGTTTTGATTAAAAAATATTAATCATTGTTCCTTTGACTGATAATTTACTACGAAATTATACTCTTGGTTCTAGTTTAGGTCTTTCACATTGTTTTTCTGCCTTACTTTCACTGTATTTAGGATGAAGGAATTCAGTTCAATCTCCTTTAATTTTAAAATTCACAGATATATTTAAGCAAAACTGTTCTGTATGAAGTAAATACTGTTTTCCATTGGCTACCACACTAAAATTGCAGGGTTTTTTATACCAAACATTTTCTAAAATAATAACTTTGTTACAGTGTTACCTAGACAAAGAGTTAACAAAATGATTATTTTTCTTGTTTCTTTTTAATGAGTACCTACTATGTTAGACATTGTAAAAAATATGTTAAATGCTATAGCATGCCTTTGTTATATTAGGAATATTTAAGTAATAATTTATCAGCATACTTTCGGGAACTTGTTTCCCAATTTGGGTTCTTTTCCCTCTTTTTTTGAAAAAAGTTTTTTTTTTCATTTCCCAGGATTCTTCACTTTGTCTATGCATTTTTCATAATTTATTTCCTCTTCTCCCTTTTGTTGGATTGTTTGTATTCTTTAGAACTAGAATCTCATGTGTCACTTTCTTGGTAAATACTGCCATTTGATATTTTGTAAAATCTTTAGAAAAGATTATAGGCAAGCATTGTGGGCTAGATGCTAATGAAAACTAATTTTAGTGGGATGACCAGAGTTTTGTGTCTCTCACAGAGACTAGCATCTCTTAGCCTAAAATCTGTATGGGCAGTTTATCTTAGGAGAATCTAGCCCTTAGACTGCTGTCTTAAAATATCCAAACTCACTTAATACTAAATTCCAAATGACAGTTTTAGTATTATATTGAGAAAAATCCTTGCCAAAGTTCAAATTATCCATTTGACTTATTGGAGGATTTCTTTTCTGTAATTAAGGTCCATGGGTATTAATTAGGATAAAGTCATGTAGTGAATTTTTAAAATATTTTCAATTTGTATTATAGAAGTTTTCTTTCAATCATATAAAAATAGAATATAATAATGAAATCTCACATAATCATCACATAGCTATAGCAACACTGCCATTCTTGTTTATACTTTCCTCACTTTTTTTTTGACTGAACCATGTTTAAAGCAAATTCTAGGCATTTTATCATTTCATCGTTAAATACTTCAGTATGTTTTTCTAACAGATAAGAATTGTGCATGTTACTATAATACCATTATTTCATCCAATAAAATTAATTATTAATACCTTAATATCATGTGGTACCCAGTCCATGTTGAATTTTCCTCTCATTCAATTAATTCTACATTGGTTTATTTGAATCAGAATCTAAAAAGTACACATGTTGCATTTGATTCATGGATCCTAAGTCTCTTATAACAGCCCTTCTTTACTCCCCCCCCCCCCCACCATTTATTTAAGAAAGTGGGTTATATGTTCTACAGAATTCCCATAATCTGGGTTTAGCTGATTGTATTCTTTTTTTTTTTTAAGTTTATTTATTTATTTTGAGAGAGCCAAGTGGGGGTGGGGCAGAGAGAGAGGGAAAGAGAGAGACTCTACCCACCCCCCCAACTCAAGGGCTCAGTCTCCAGAACCATGAGATCATGAGCTGAAATCAAGTGGCTCAACCGACTAAGCCACCCAGGTACCCCTAGCTGACTGTATTCTTATGGTATCTTTTTTTTTCAATGTGTATTTATTTTTGAGAGAGAGAGAAAGAGAGCATGAGCATGGTAGAGAGAGGGAGACAGAGGATCGAAAGCAGGCTCTGTGTGAGAACTTTGATTTTTGATTATCATTTTTTGTGGCAAGAATGTTTTATAAATAGAACTGTGTACTTATTAGAAGATCTATAGTATCTGGTTGTCCCACTTTAGTGACCTAAAGACTTATCAGTGGACTAGGGTGGTATCAGCATGATATATCTTTTATAAAGTTCCTAATCAATTTTTTACCTAACAGTTTTAGCAGCCATTGAGAGCATTGTTTTTTACTGTAGATGTATTTCTTTTTAGATCTATAAATTTTATGATCAAGTAGCATTTTCTGTATACCTTAGGAATTAGTTGGCATTTTTTGAGTGACTTTTTCTAAGATTTTTAATATAATTTTTATAATTAGTTGAGTTAGGGATGCTTACTAGATGACCTGAAATTGTTCTTTTGACACCTTATAGATTATATCAACATGGTGTTTTAGGATGGGCTTGAATAATACTTTTTCAATTTGTTAATAAATAAGTCAGAATTCACTATACACTGAAGTGTAAATAGTGTGGAATATTAGCAACTTTCATATTAAGGGTTATCTTAGGATAGGCTCCCTGCAAAAACCCATTACAAAAGTGGGTTGGATCTTTAGAGCTTGCTGGACTTTTCTTATCTAAGCTATGCAGATTTTTTTTTTTTTTTTTTTGCCTTTTTAATATTACGTTATTCTGGGAAACACAGGCACCTGATACAGAAGTTCGGTAAGTATTTTGCCTGCAGTGGAGAGCAGACAAATACCACATTGTTTTTTGTTTCCTTTCAGCTTTCTTTTCTGTATTGTTGGAAAATGTCTTGAAATTGTATTTAAGCCCCATGAGGGCAGAGATGGTGTCTGTCTCATTTATCATTTTCCTTGGAGGCTTAGCATGATTCCACAGTTCTAGAATGGATTTTGTAAATACTGGTTGAATGAAGGGATTAATTTCTTTTTCATTGTCCTCTCTGTTTACTAAAGCAAATTTTATGTAGCTACCTGAGCAGTGTTTTTTATCCTCTTACACCTTGGTGTAGGATTTCAGTAGTTGGATCATCACATCTTGGAACATTGCTCTTACTACTTCCTTTGGTCTTTTAGTCCTACTGCTTTTAAACTACTGAAGATAAATAACGTAATATTGTTAAACTATCACTACCATCTCTGCAGCATTCCCCTGCTACCCAGATAAAGTAATAACTAGCTTTTGTTTTGAGCCCTTGCAGTTTTGCTTCAACCCAAACACATTCTCAATTACATAGAAGTTTTGCATGATAATCAAATAAGTACCCAACAATAAACTAACAAGCTATACTTAGAATAATTGCTATTTTTAATTACTTGGCTCTGGATTTTTTTTTTTTCTGTTTTTATAAAAGTCCACCTCGGGGCGCCTGGGTGGCTCAGTCGGTTGAGCATCCAACTTCGGCTCAGATCATGATCTCACAGCTCGTGAGTTCAAGCCCCGTGTTGGGCTCTGTGCTGACAGCTCAGAGCCTGGAGCCTGCTTCGGATTCTGTCTCCCTCTCTCTCTGTCCCTATCCCACTTGCATTCTGTCACTGTCTCTCTCAAAAATAAATAAACATTAAAAAAAACTAAAAAAAAAAAAAGTCCACCTCTAGGTGATCATTCTTCTGTTTTTACTTAAAATGTAGGTTACTTACTATGTAACTACCTAATTAAAGTATGGACATTTCTGAACTCTGGAAGTGTTGGTTCAAAAATTAGAATTACTTAGGCAATATGCTGTTCAGAGGTCACTCTTTCTCTTACTGCTGTTCTAGGTTATTTGCTTATCTATCTTTGTTGACATCAGACGTCTTTGCCTACCCTTGACCTATATTATATGACTTTTGACAACTGCTTGGAAATGTTTCTCAATAACAAGTTGCTATTTTATGTTTCCATTGTGCCTACTGACCCTGTAACATAACAGTAAAATGTTAAAGCTGACTATTTTATATAGTTATTTTCTATAATATTATGTGCTTTGTGTTATTAATCAACAGGATACAAATAGTTGGATATTTGGCTGCATAAACAGCACTTCTATGTGGTAAGTCTTTTGAACCTTGATTGTTCATTTTTCTCAATATAAATAATACAAATCACACCGCACTTTTTAGAATAGCTTCATACATTATTAAACTCATTTTGCTGCTATACTAAATTGTAGTATAGATTTTAAAATGAAAAAGAAAGGAAATTAACACCAATAATATTTGCAAACATTGAAATAGTTAGTTGCTAGGAAAAACTTTTTTTTTGTACCCTAAAGTCTTTATAGATAAGAGTATATTGGATTAGATTTACTGGACTTAACTTCATTAGAACTTTCACTGATAGGTCTGTAGCTGGTTTCTTTTTCCTCTGAAGCTTATTTATAAATTATAGTATTTTAATATATTTGTTCTTTAATTATATTTTCATATTCATTTCAAAGCCGGCAAGGGATTGATTTATCATGGAAAGCTGAACTGCTGCCAACAATTAAGGTAAATTATGGCCTTAGAATTTTAATATCCAGTGGAAAAAAATACTAAAAAGACTTGCGTCTATAGGCATTTTAGAGTATGGTCTTCTATGAATTCATCTAAGTATTAAGTAAACTTGAGATTTGCTAACATAAATTTTAGAAATATTTTCTTTTTTTAATTTAAAAAAAAAATTTTTTTTTAATGTTTATTTATTTTTGAGACAGAGAGAGACAGAGCATGAATGGGGGAGGGGCAGAGAGAGAAGGAGACACAGATCGGAAGCAGGCTCCAGGCTCTGAGCCATCAGCCCAGAGTCTGACACGGGGCTCGAAC